GTCTTCTTTCAGCAAATGAAAAGATCATGTATGTTTCCGTGTTACTTCGGAATATGTTTGCCCGGCACGGCGAAACTAAATGTTGCTATTGGCATCCTCTCTATTTCGGAGGGTGACACAACATCTATGGCTATTGTAAGCGGGGGGTACTACTTTTCTGGAGCAAACCCGGCCTTCTATGCCTGAAGGAAGCGCATTCTCATCAAAATATTGTCTTTTTCTACACTTTAATGTCTTAAAAGAAAATAAACGCCAAGTACAAGAAGATGAAGCCGTACAACTTCTTCACGGAAACACCGACGCGCATGAATCGACGAGGCGTATGCTGAAAGAGAACAGGCCCACCATATCGTCAATTAGTTACCAGAAAAAACTGTCATTAAGTTCACTTCGAGGGGTTTTCGCTGCAGACTGCAGCAAGCGTAGCTCCACGGCAGGCTGGAATCTCTAGTGAATTTGCGTGGCCCGCCCAACTGCAGCATTGTCTGCCTAAAGTTGACACAGGCACATCAAGGTGGCCCTGAAACGTTGCCTGCAAGCAAATAAAAATGCCTAATATTTGCTAAAAGAAGCTTCGTCGAGGCTCTGATGTGCTCATATATGGGAGTGGCTTTCATCGCTAGACGCTGCGATGAGCCCTGCAATTACTTTCAGGCTTCCTTTTCTCCTTTCCCCCCGCGCTCTGAGGCTGAATGCCCAGGATGCCTGGAGACGGAGGAGGGAGGTCAGCTGCTTTGGGGAAGTTCGAACCTCAACTCTTTGGCTTTATTAGAGAGTTCTTGTGCTTGAACAAGGCCGGAAGACACGCTTTACAACGACCATCACGACTAAAAATGTTCACGATGATTTTCTGTTTGATGTTAGCACGGGAGAATTCATTTAGCGTTGTTAGGCTGCCTGCGAGCAAGTACAAATGCTCAACGAGTGTCTATAGAGATAGTGCATGTGGCAAACCAAACGTGGTTGTACCTGCATATGAAGCTGTCTTGCATCATTTGTTACAGCTGGGAGCACTGCAACTCATGCTACGCCGCCTCCTCTTCCGCACCTCCAGGCCCCGACTCGCTGCGCGCAGGACACATGCAGATAAGGAAGCTCTTAGCTGAAGCCATTTGGCTTCA